CAAGCGGAGCTTGTCCAAATTTCTCCCCACCGGACGAACTGAGCTACCCATATGCAGTTCACAAAGCTTTCTATTCAAAGTATGATCTGAGGGCCAAAAAAGGAGGCAGAGGCGCCGGATCCTGAACGGCGACGAAGATTATGTCGAGTGGTTTGAAGGTGAGGTTGCAGAGTTCTAGCAAAACTAGTAATTTAATCGGTGGTAGGTAAAAAAGAATAACTATCCGGGCCGTGCATAGAAACCTACCGAAGTTATACGGACAATATTTATTGTGTCTTTGACAACTATTGTTCGTCTATGGATGTTTTTACTGGACGGTAATTTGTCCCAGACTAGTCCAGACCAGCATAAAAACATCGAGTATCACCAAACTCGCGGCCTCCTCCCCATTTTATCAAAAAAAATAAAAATAACCTATCTCTCGGTCACTATGAAGGTAAAGAATCCCACCGTTCCCTTGCTTAAACCAGTAGACAGGCCAATACTTGTTCAATTGTCACAAATACAACCAGTGACCGAAGACAATGATTTCTGCCATGATTTGCAGCCACAAGGAATGGATGAACCCTCTAAAGCCAGTGCCACTACTGCGGAAATCGATAAAATTCATGTAAGCATTTTGTGTAAGGGAACACATTAATCCCACATTAAGGGGGTGTTTGGAACTAATTCTGCATCTACTTCTTTTAAAGCAGAACCAGCTTCAGTTGTCTGAAGCTGGTCTCAGTTTATTAACTGCTTCTACTAATAAACTAGAGCTGTAGCTGAAGCAGTTTTAAGAACCAGATCCAAACACCCCCTAAATACTACTCCGTTTTATTTGATTTCTAATGTGTAATTTCAACATTGTTTTCAAGGTTCCATTGATATCTGCTCATGTTGACAGCGAGCTCTTCCCACCAATGAAGCTCACAATAAAAAATTCATTGAGATCCTTTCAAACACAAATGAGGCAATGCCTTTATGACTATCCGGAATTGTTGGACGAGTTCAGGAGGAGCATCTTCGGCAGGTATTTGGATATAGATTTTATTCCTGTACCCGCGTTGGTGTGGCCGTTGTTAGTGAGATTATCCAAGATGGAGAGGAGTTCTGATATCTGGTTTGTCCTTAAGGGTGTCCCTATTCGGTATTCTATTGTTGAGTTTGCCTTGATCACTGGGCTAAACTGCAGCTTCCTGGACAAGAACAGATACGAGAAAGACTATGATGAGCATGAAAGAGCCAAGTTCATTGACCGTAATTGGCCAGCCGTGCTTCGTGGTGGACGTGAAAACAAAGTGAGTTATAAGACTATCCTTCATAGATTTAAGCAATTGTGCAAAAATTTGAAGGATAGCAATCAAGGGAAGAGGGAGGAAGCACACCGTGAGGTGATTAGAGTGGCAATACTTATGTTTATAGTTATGGTTCTTCTAGGCCCTGCCAGGAGGAATGCTTCGGTTCCAGATTGGATCTTAGGGAAGGTAGCTTGCTCATGTTCACTGGAAGTGTTCCCCTGGGGTACATGGTCATATTTGGAGTCTCTTAATTCATTGAATAAGAATTTACAGAAAAAACTCGATGAGATAATTTGCAAAAAAAAATCTCGAACACTTTGCTATACTGGATTTCTACTCCCCATATCGGTAAGAAATCAATTATGGAGTATATATTTTTCACATTATAATACATCTAGAACCTCTCTTCATTATCTCCTTTGTTTTTAGATCTTGCTTTTCGAGTGTGTGCCTGATTTTGCAAAAACCTTTGCATTCAAAGATCAGCAAAGTGTCCAGGCAAGTCCACGAATCTGTCTCTGGAAGCTTAAACACAGGAAGAAAATAGACCACAAGGATGTTGATGAAGCACTTCAATCTGTAAAAGTATGTTCTGTTCACTTAATTTAGGTGAAATTCATAAGAATAATCCATACTTTTAGGGATTCTGAAATTATAATCCCTACCCAGACTGTCCACAAAAATAATCCGGACTAGCAAAGGTGTTCATAGAAATAAATTGGGGTGAATTCAAATTAATGTCCGTTTAATATTCTCAACCTTTACTCTCACTTTTCTCCTCCCGACTCTTCTTTGCGGGAGAAACTCAAACTAAAGTCCGTTTCATTTTAGCATCATTTCCGTCATATGGTTCTTTCTAGGTTGAAACATAATCGTGTGAATTGAGATGGACAGGATAATCGTGTGAATTGAGATGGACAGTGGTGAATGGGAATGAGAAAGTGGAGGTAGGGATTGGGAGTATCAAATGAGCATTAATTTGAATTCAGATTGATTTATGGCTAAAGGGTCAAATAGGTACATGAACTAACTTAAAGTGTTCAATTAGCCCCTTATATAGGAGGTTCTGTCTGGCCGTCGCCAATTGGGGCGGTTCTCGGTGGAATTTTTTGATGAAATTTTTTGAGCATCTTCTTCATTAAGTCTAGTTTACTCATATCAAATTTCAGCTAAAAATTAAATCGGGAAGGCAGTCAAATGATTTTTCAAAATGTACTGCGTTGTTTACCTGCGCAGTTATCTTCAAAAAATCATTTGACTGCCTTCCCGGTTGAATTTTTAGCTGAAATTTGGTATGGATAAACTAGACTTAATGAAGAAGATGCTCAAAAAATTTCATCAAAAAATTCCACCGGGAACCGCCCCAATTGGCGACGGCCAGACAGAACCTCCTATATAAGGGGCTAATTGAACACTTTAAGTTAGTTCATGTACCTATTTGACCCTTTAGCCTTACTCTTATGGACACTATTGCTAATTCAGATTAATTTTATGGACACTCTCAGGGGTGTTTGGAACTTATTCTGCTTCTGCTTCTTTTTTAAAGCACAAGTAGAATCATAATAAATTTTCAGAAGCTGGTGCCCCAGCTTCTAAAAAAACTTATTCTATGAGTAAATTAGAGACCCTCCATCATTTGCAATGGAGCCAAAGATTCATTATTTTTTGGCTTGAGAATATGATGGAATAAAGCAAAACGGTTCACTAAACTGTCTGCGCTTCTTTGTTATGATACTGCAGTCAATCCATGCAATTTTGGACGTGATTTTCATACAGGGGTAAGACTGTGTACATCCGACCCCCTTACCCCACCGTAGGTGGGAGCCTCTGTGGCCCTGGGGTAAATGAAAATGATACGAGTAAATTAGAGCACCCAAATGACTTCTGCTTCTGCTCCCTGAAGGAGCAAAACCAATTTTAAGAATCATATCCAAACACCCCCTCAGTGGGGATCACTGTAGAACCCATAAAAGTATTGATTATTCTTGTGAATTTTGCCTTAAGTCAACTTAGACAGTTAGACATGGTCATCACATGGCCCCACTTTGTTTTCAAGAGTGTGCAGAGTATTCTTGCACCTGATTCACGGGAAGCAGAAGCTGATTGGGTTTTGAGTTTAAAGCCATTACATGAGGACCACCTGGATAGTGAGCTAAATGCCTATGTTAGGCACTTGGAGAAAAAATTAGTTCGTATCCCAGTGTGTAGTATAAGGTCAAAATCGCGCAAGCAGGAAGTGGAATTCAAGGAAACATCCCCACCGAAAAAGGCGAGGGTTGATTATCCCCACATGGGGAATGAAGTCATTCATGAATTGAGGGACTATCCCCCAACCCCAAATAATTGGAAGAGTCAAGTTGATTCTACCGCAGTGGCTAAATTGATGGAACAGTTGGTCTGTTTTGAAAACAAGTTTGATGATTTTCGGGAGAATGTGTTGAATAGGCTTGTCTCTATCGAAGGACATGTTGTTCTGTTGAAGAGGAGGGTAAGTGAGGTAAGTCGCCTTCTCCTGAGACAACGTTACAACTTACAAGTAATATAGAATAGAGTCAGTTTTGACAACTTTAATGTGTATTAAGTGCTCAACTCCTACCTTCTTGTGAAGTATGACGCGGAAAAAGAAATTCACGGATGTACAGCACCTGATGAATCCCAAAAAGGATGTGTACAGGTATACATTACTCACTCGCATTTTCATAAAAAATGTCGCTTCATATATTTCATTGCTAAATGTTGTTTACGGTATTTCATATAGGACTTGCTAAGCATGGTGGGATTTGTTCGGCCATCATCTCAGATGAGCGATCAAAATGAAAATACTAATAAACAGGTGTAACCATCATCTCATACAGAGGTTAATAGAATTGCCTTTTAGTATGTTTTCATGTCCTACATTAAGGTGCTCATGGGTGTTATTCGGGTGAGGATTGGTGGTAGTACATTTATGGAACCGTTATCAAATTGTGCAGTTATGTTTATTTTTCCTCATTTTCATATTTAAGAATGAAGTACCTTTGTCAAACAGTCAAGTCGGATGGATTGTGAAGATGTTGTAGTTATAACGCAGGAGGTATGTATAATTCATGAAATATTGTCTTTTTTCGTGTGTTTTATGTTTAAGTGATGACCATATGGTTTCTAGTAGACGGGAAGGGGACAGAGAATAAAGAGACCCTCGTACAAACAAGGCTACCCTTCTACCATGTATTGCCAAAAGCCTAAAAGCAGTGCACCCTCCAACGATACACTAGAAGCCTTCAGAGTTTTCATACACAAAGCCATTGAGGAGAAAAGGGAAGTGCAATGCAATTTATATAAAACATCAGAAAGTGAAGGAAAAGCCCGAAGGTGGTGGACAGAATTGTTGACACCTGGTGGTTGGTTAGGTGACTTGGTGAGTAAAGTGAATTACAAGGAGTACCTGTATTTGATAAATCATAAATTTCATTTTCAATTTTTGCAGCACATGGATGAATATATGTTTGTTCTAAGGAGACGTGTACATGAAGAAAAAATTTCTCATGTTGTTGTTCTTACGGAGTTCTTCAGTAGGATGTGTGAAAGGAATGCTAGAGACCCTATTTTCCCTGAAGTAGGAGAGAGGATGAAAGAAATTGTGGATGGTACGTATGGAGCTCCTTATATCAAACCTTGGAAAAATATAAGCTTTGTTTATTTCCCTCATAATATTGGAAGAAGTCATTGGGTGGCTATACGTGCTGACTTTGAAAAAGGAAAGCTAACTGTGTTTGACTCCCTAAGGACTTTCATGGATATACTTGCTTTGGAAACAGAATTAATTCATTTGAGGAAAATGTTCCCTATTCTTGCACATCACTGTGGTTTGGGTCCCCACACAGCACACCGGAAGCCACTTTGGGATGTGGTGCGCCCTAATGCCCCACAGCAAATTACAAACGATTGTGGAGTGTTTGCACTAAAGTTCATAGAGTTGGATATGCAACGAAGGCCGTTTGATGACCTGCAAAACAATAATTCAAAACAAATTAGTTTACTCAGACTTAGAATGGCTTATGATATTTGTTTAGAGTATCAATTGTCCCTACAAGTGTAATTTTTTTATACTAAATTCTGGATATTATATTGTAATGTGTGCCAATAAGACGTTATGCAACATATTCATTTATAAAATACGGAGTGAGGAGTATTTATAATCTGGATTATGTTCTTCAATTAAAATATTCAGTCCTTGTTTGTAACAAAAATATTTATCCATTGTTTGTAAACCATACTCCGTATGTAGTGTACTTTGGTCAAAATTCTTCAAACATGGTCGACCATTGGTAAATACGGAGTAATTGTATATTAATTCCTTCATTCAATGGATCAATTCAAGTTTCTGTTTTTTGTAAATTACAGAGAAGTATACATTTTAGCGGTCTTCTTTCAATAATCTCACCTTTTGATTATTCATGAATAATCCAACCTTTGCACCTCATCTTCATTCATTGGTCCTTGGTCGGTTAATGACCTACTATTTCAAGTTATTTTCTTATCTTTGCAAAATATTATCTTTGTAAAAGATGAGATTTATGGTATAATGATTTGCAAAGATAAGAAAATCGCTTGGAATAGCAGGTCATCAACCGGTCAGGGACCAGTGAATGAAGATGAGGTGCAAATGTTGGATTATTCATGAATAACCAAAATGTTGGATTATTATAAGAAGACCGCTAAAAGGTTGGATTATTAGTTTCCATTTTCCCTACATTTTATTCTCTTTTATTGTCTTAAGTTTTACAGAAGCTACCCTAATAAAATAGGAGTACGTTTTGAAATTTCAAATAGGAGTATCATGTTTTTTTATTCCTTGAATAGGAGTAATCTGCCAAGTTTGAAAAAAAATGTCATATGTTAAAAGTCTTGTAATGCCAAACTTGGCAGAAATTTACTCCTATTCATGGAATAAAAAACATGATACTTCTATTTTGGAATTTCAAAACGTTTTTACTCCTATTTAGGGAATTCTCTCAAAGTTTTAAACATGTTTTTATTTGAATATAAACACGGTACGTGTTTAAAACAGTTTTTAAAGGAAAACAAAACTACTAGGAACATATCTAGATGGAGGTAAGGGTCAGATTGGTACTCCAAGTTGCATAAAAGGGGTCAAATATGTCCTTAGTGTCCGGCCGTCGCCATTTGGAACGGGTCTGATTTTTTTGATGAAATGTTTTGAGCATCTTATTCATTAAGTCTAGTTTACTCATACCAAATTTCAGCTAAAACTTTAATCGAGAAGGCATTCAAATGAATTCTTGAAGATAACTGCGCAGTTAAAAGCGTAGTTATTTTCAAGAATTCATTTGAATGCCTTCCCGATTGAAGTTTTAGCTGAAAATTGGTATGAGTAAACTAGACTTAATGAATCAGATCAGAATGATTCAGATCAGAGCAAATAAGGAACATTCAGATCAGATCAAATCAGAAAAGTTTAAACATGTTTTATAATTAATGTGACTCCGTAATTATTTCTATATTTATAATAATTATACAAACAAATACTATCGTATTATAATTATAATTATAGATATAATATACTGCGTAATTAAAATATGTGATTAAATATATAATAATAGATCAAACTAGATCATAAAGATTCAGATGAGATCTGATCAGATCAGAAAACTTTAGATGAGATTAGATCAGATGAGATCAAAACTTAAAAATTTTAGATCAGAACATTTATTTTGTAATCCATTTGGGACGGGCACTGTATCAAATTTGATATAGAGTGCCTCGTAGTCCGTACTCCGTTGCACTTCAATATGGAGTAAGGTGACAACTCAGGTACCCATTTAAAAATTCAGGTATCATACTTTCAATTGTTCTACTTGATTATATCATTTTTAATTTAGATTTAAATAACTCAAACTACAATATTCTCTAAAGGGAAAACTGTCAAATAGGTCCTCGAACTTTCATAAAAAAGTCAATTAAGTCCTTCTATAGGAGACTTTGTTCGGTCGTCGTGATTTGGGGCGGTTCCCGGTGGAATTTTTTGATGAAATTTTTTGAGCATCTTATTCATCAAGTCTAGTTTACTCATACCAAATTTCAGCTAAAAATTTAATCGGGAGCGCATTCAAATTAATTCGAGAACGCAAAAATGCGCAGTTATCTTCAAGAATTAATTTGAATATGTTCCAGATTGAATTTTTAGCTGAAATTTGGTATGAGTAAACTAGACTTGGTGAATAAGATGCTCAAAAAAATTCATCAAACAAATCCACCGGGAACTGCCCCAAATCGTGACGGCCGGACAGAACCTCCTATAGAAGGACTTAATTGACCTTTTTATGAAAGTTCGAGGACCTATTTGACAGTTTTCCCTTCTCTAAACAAAGGTATCGTACCGATACAATAGAATTTACCACGGAGTAATGGCCACGCCGTGTCAGCCCAAGGGCGCGGCAATCACAACAGTATGGTGATATTCTCTGCGTCGCGAATATATAGTCATAATGCAAATGTCACGTCTCAAGATGATAAGTGACAGAAGAGTGCGGTCAGTGCCTACCATTTCCAACGAGTTCCACATATCATAATCGAACTAAGCTCCCTAGTTAGATTTTTCCGTTTTAAACGCCTTTGAAACACTTACGTATTTTTTTTAGTATATCTATTTTTATTTTTTGGGCACAAATTTTAATAAAGTGGCTGAAAAAGAAAAAATTGACGTTGAGATTAGAATAGAAAAAGGTGAAATGATGTGGATCACATCTTTCTTTCCAAAAAGGAAAACAAGACCATTTTGGGACGGAGAGAGTACAATTTTTTTGGGAACAAAAAACACTTTTCCAGGCCCTTTCACAATACTTTTTGTAGGCTTATCAACCAACTTTATCACCAAACAAGTACGTAGAAATTTTTTCTTACGCGCGCTAAATTGTGTAATAAGTAGAAAATGTAAGGTTGAAGTTATTTTTTTTGCTGTATTGGCTGAAGTTATTGTAGATGACTACTTTCGCTAATTTTACATACCGTAGTATAATTTTTCTTTATTTTATTAATAAAATACGGAGTATAGTTTTAAAATATTTTTTCTTAAATCAGTAGAATCAACCAATGCAGCCACTACTGTCAGAACTTCATAAATTTCAGCAGAATCAACCAAATCAGTCGATTTTCGAGCTGCCAGACAACAAGCTCTAATTTTATGAATATTCATTTCTAGTTTGAATTTTTGTTACTCCGTGATTTTTTATATGCAATATTGGTACTATATGAAAGGTCTTTAAAAATTAAAAAAAATGATACTACTTCCGTCCCTTTGGAAGGTTTCCATAGCAAAATGACTTGGTTATTTAGAAATTTTATAGGTATATATTACTCCGTCCCTCCCTTAAAAGTTTGTCATCTTTCCTTTTTGGGATGTCCCAACAAACTTTGTCACTTTCCTTTTTAATCAATTATTTTGTAGTTTCTGTTATATCTCTCACAAACCTCAACCACACAACTTTTACTTTATTATTCTCCGTTCCGGTCAACTTTGGCAGTCTTAAGGGACGGAAGTAGTATAATGTAATTAGTATTGATAATTGTGATGTTATAAATGTATTATTTTTAATATTTAATGATTAATTTGTCACTTAAGATTGTTAATTGTTTCCTAAAATAGAAATGTGAACCTTTAGGGTGGGATGAACCATCACTCTCAATTGAGAGGGTGAAGAAAATTGTTCTCCTTTAAATGTATAGGAGATCAACAATATTTGAGCAAAAAAGAAAAGCTCCTCCATGTGACCCCCTTTTAGAGAGAATTCCTATAGGGGAGTAGAAACGTTTTGAAATTCCAAAATACGAGTATCTTGTTTTTTATTTCCTAAATAGGAGTAAATTTCTTCCCAGTTTGGCATTATAAGGCTTTAAACATGGCATTTTTTTCCGAACTTGGCAGATTACTCTTATTCAGGGAATAAAAAAATGATACTCCTGTTTTGGAATTTCAAAACGTTTTTACTCATATTTAGAGATATTTCTGTTTTTTATTCTTACAATACAATTATTGAGTATTAAATACTACTCGGCAGAATTAATTGTATGGTCGGCGCCGCTAAACCTAGGCAGTCTATTTAAATTTAAGAAAAGAAATAGCTCATCAAAATACAATTTTACCCTTAATGAATCCTATGTGTCAAAATCTCCTCGATTCACTAAGTCCGTTTAGTAACACTGAAATTGACTAAATCGGCTGTACCGCTGTAATATAATTTATGAAGTTTTGTAGGACTGGATTGCTAATTATGTTGTTTATGGAAAACAATTATCTTTAAATGTACATGAACACCAAACGGGCTAATAATAATAAACCTATAAAGCAGAAGTTCTCCTATTTGGTAAGATATACTCGGTATGAACGAAAAAATCAAAGCCCTAACAATCTAACATTATAAAGTAAATTTAAAACGGAATTATATAATTATAGGAGAATTTTCTCTCTCATATATAGTGCATTTTGGCATACGGTAAGATAATCCTGCTAATAATTGAGCAGAATAATTTTCTCTCTCATATATAGTGCTTTTAGATATAAGCTCAGTCGTCTAACAATCAAGCGATAAACTTTTATCTCTCATAAGTAATACTTTTATCAGTTTTATGTATTATTACTACAAAGTAGAAGATATGCTTGGTAACAATTGAGCGGGAGAAATTTTTCTCTCATATGTAGTTCTTTTAAGTACTCCGTAGAAGATTAGAGAGGACTTATCTGGTCAGGCGCGCCTGACCAGAACCGCCGTGCAGACTTGCCCTTTTGGGCTATAGTTTAAGATACAAAACAGAATATTCATAACTAGTAAAACAAAGTGCAATCATCCAAAATTCATAACACAGTACAATGATCTAATATTCATAACCGAACACACCAACACATCATAAAAGAGTTTGCAGGTGCAAGAATACTTAAAATAAAGTCAATTGTTCCTACAACATCCAGTGTACAAGAAAAACTCCAATACAAAAGACAAACTACAGGTTCCCATGGTCTTCTTGATCGTCTTGGTCATGGAGATGTTGTTGTTGCTGCCTACGCCTACGCCGCTGGCGTGGTTGAAGAACCACTGTACTCTCTCATGCTGAGTCTGGGATGATGAAGCCGCCGCTACACTAGATGTCGATCGCATATCCTGAGATGGGGTCATATGT